CACACGCACAAAGATTAATCACATGACAAGAGCAGGAACACACACGCCCACCTTTCCTCGACTTACCTGAGTTTGCAAAGACTTTGCTGCCATCAGGAGAGAACGCGACGCCGCTGACATCACCGTTTATCTTCATACTGCGAACCACCTCCTTTGTCTGCACACACACAGATTTTTCTAATATTAGAGTTTCATCAGTTCACCTGTCCATGCTTCCGATTGGTCACATTGCAAGCTCCGCCTCCGTCAGAGATACACTGTAGCTATGTCCCAATCCAGCGGCCGCACACTTCGTAGTGCGCATTTGTAGACCGATTACGTCACAGCGACACGACGAAGGCTGTCCCAATCTAAAGTGTTCTCTTTGTGCACTTCGTGGTCCCATATATCCCACAATTCATAGCGCGGGGGTGGGTGCGGATAATTTGTTCAGAAAAAAAAAAAGGTGGATGGCTGAAGCGGGGCAGCTGAAAAGTTAAACTGTCAAAAGTAAGAACTGAATATTGTGTCTCTTTATGTGCGAATGTTTAATAATGAAGAACATTAAAACATTACTGGTGGCCACATGTCGGCAAAGTTATGCCAGTCATATATCCACAAACACAACAAGCTGAGAGTCAGTGATGCTGCTCGGTTTGCAGTCCTGAACATCACGGCACAAGCAGGATTCACTGCACTCCCAGAGGAACCCACCCGAGGGATTAATAAAGTTCTATCTTATCTTATCTTATCTTAGTTGGTGAGGACGTGAGAGGGCGCGTTTTGGGGGATTCGTGATTTTGCCGCCAAAAGCACATGAGATGTAAACGTTGCGTCCAGGTAGAGGACAGGAGGAGGGATACACCTTTAGGTTTCAGGGTTGTGATCTGCCCCGCTGCCTTGTGGTGGACAGGAACTACTTTTTGGAGTGACACATAATTTGCGCGGCGTCTTATAGAGATTGAAAATGTGACGTCATTCAGGGGTAAAACTGCAAAGGATTCTGGGAACTCGTGGCAAGAGGTAC